TGGCTCGCTGCGCGCTCTCCATCTCGGGCGCCAGTGCGGCTTTCTGCTAAACACCTCTCCGGCCGTGGGCTGAGCCTCCCTAGGCCGGCTCTGAGGGGTGCTGCTGAGGGTCTGGGTGCTTAACGTGTGCCTTTTACCGGGCACAGCGAATCCCAGCGCAGCAGGGCCCACGGGGGTTAGGAAGGGCGGGCCGTCCCACATCTTCCTGCTCGGCACCACTCGCGCTTTTTTCTATGTGCTGCTCTGGGAATAAGAGCACCTTTCTGATGCCAGCCCCGTATTTGGAGAGCTTGCATCAGGTGTCAGAAATCCGTGGAGCAATCGAGAAGCGCTAGGGAAGGCAGCCAGAGCTGTCCGGGCAGTGGCTGGGGAAGGTGCCAGTGCTGGGGCACTTCTTGTTCCATTGAATCCTGGCCCAGGGGCTTCCCAGGCTGGGACAGCTCCTTGGGCCGAGGCCGAAATGTCTCATGTGCCAGCTCAGGAGGAGGTTTCTCCAGAAATGGGCTGGTTTCCTGGTTATGGGGAAGCAGCCGAGCTGGTGACTGCCACTGCAACCCTGGTAATCCCCTATTAGTGGAAAAGGGTTGCAAAGTTATCCTCGTGTATACTTATGCTGATCCATACAGCACGGTGGCGGTGCTGCCCCAGGCACCTGGCTGGAACGTGTTTTGTTTCCCAATGAAAGGAGCAGCCAGCAGGGAGAAGGTGCTGGTGGGTGTGGGGTGCTGGCTGTGGACATTGGGAGCTGCTTTCCTTGTGGCCTCTCACCCTGTGCTGGCTGCCATGACCACAGCGTGGTCATCTCCCAGAGCTTTTTAGGGATAGGTGGCTGCTGTGAGCAAGGGGAGTTGGGGTGTTGCACGTTTAGGGCGATGGCAGTCTGTGGAGCATGCGGGCTGCTCAGCAAGCACCATCACCATGCAAGGGGTGTGTGCCAGGGGCTATGTGTCTGGCCACGCATCCCTGCCGAGGGTGTAGTGCAGATGCTGGGAGCAAAGGAGGAATAGTCGTGTCCCAGTGAGTCAGCCCAGCCTGCCAAATCCTCCGCTTTGTCTCCCTGCCATTGCTGCTGCACACGCCCACATGCCAGACCGGAGAGATACGCTAGCAGTCAAGTTTGGGCTGAGGGATCTCCAGGCTGCCAAATCAGTGGAGAGCTGCTGGGAGGCAGTGAGCAAGCTCTGGGATGTGCCCAGGGGCTCCATGGTGGGAACCACACAGGGCTTGTGCAATGAGCCTATTTCCCACCATGGACTTGCTGGGTTCATCCCTGGCTTGCCTTCCTGGTGCAGGGGCTGCATGAGTGGGGTATGCACAGCCCCACAGTGCCTTAGAAGGAGCTGCCGTAGTCTTTGCCCCGCCAGCGTGGTGGGGACTTGGTGCCGATGGGTTGGCTGGGAGCAGGCACAGCTCCTCTGGGTGTCGCTGCCTGCCCTGCTCCCCACAGTGTGGGTCCTGTGGCCTGCAGGGCACTGAGATTTATGCTCCTACTGTCCCTTCTCTTGCAGGGGTCTTGAGCAGCTGAGCACCACCCACAAGAGGACGAGATGTTCGGAGGAAAAATGACTAGCATTGGGAAGAAGCTGATCCGCCGGCGTATGGTGGATCTGAGCTCTGAGGACACACGTTTTGCTCGCTGCCTCTCCACACTGGACCTCATAGCCCTTGGGGTGGGCAGCACACTGGGGGCTGGTGTGTACGTGCTGGCTGGGGAGGTGGCCAAGGAGATGGCTGGTCCATCCATCGTCCTCTGCTTCCTGGTGGCTGCTCTCTCATCGGTACTGGCTGGACTCTGCTACGCAGAGTTTGGGGCCCGCGTCCCCAAGACCGGCTCTGCCTACCTCTACAGCTACGTCACTGTTGGCGAGATCTGGGCTTTCACCACTGGCTGGAACCTCATCCTCTCCTACGTGATAGGTACAGGGCTGGGCAGGGTACTGGTACACATGCCTGGGCTCCTTCCAGCACCACATTGGCAGCATGGAGGGCTTGTGGGGGCAGTATGTAGTGCTGTGGAAGCAGGGTGTGGGGTGGGATCAGCAGGGAGGCAGGTGCTGCTCTGCCCTCGGCTTGGACTGATGCACAGATTTGCTATCACTCAGGCACAGCCAGCGTGGCTCGAGCCTGGAGTGCAGCATTCGACAACATCATTGGCAACCACATCTCCACCACCTTCATGAACAAGACCACACTGCATCTGCCAGGTGTGCTGGCGGAACGTCCGGATTTCTTTGCCCTGATCCTGATTGGGCTGCTTACTGGTGAGTGTATAAGAGCAGCTCCATGGCACCACTGGTGGTGGTGTGGGAGCCTGGAAGGTCCCCACTCACCCCTTCTGTCCCTGCAGTGCTGCTGGCCTTCGGTGTCAGCGAATCCGCGCTTGTCAACAAAATCTTCACGGCGGTGAACCTGGTGGTGCTGGGCTTTGTCATCATTGCCGGCTTTGTAAAGGGAGACATCAAGAACTGGCAGCTCTCGGAGGACTACACCAACCACTCGCACCTGGACCTGAGAGATGACAGGTGAGGAAAGCAACTGTGGTCTGGCACTGGGCTGACACTGGCCCCACTGTCCATGCACCACATGGCAGCTGCTCTCCTCCCTCCTCTCCAGGAAAAAAGCTTTTGGCTCTGGTGGGTTTGCTCCCTTTGGACTGGAAGGGATCCTGACTGGTGCTGCTACCTGTTTCTACGCTTTCGTGGGCTTTGACTGCATCGCCACCACAGGTACTGCCTTGGGCGAGGGTGGTGGCTGGTTAGGACCCGTCTGGGAGGATGCTCCATGGTGTGGGAAATGGCTAATCCCACTACTCCTGGGAGGTTTCCCAGCACAAAAGGGCTCACAGTTTGCCCTGCCCCAGGAAAAGGGGCTCCCTGCACTGTACAGTGGGAGTGGGGCTGCACCCTGCCTGCGCAGGCAGCTCTCAGGGTAGCGGGAAGCCTTTCTCCTGCAGAGTTGAGGCTGCCTCAGTGCTGGGAATTGCTAGTGCCTCTTGGTTATTTCCTAGCCTCAAGCAACGTTTTTCTAAATGACTGAGTTCATGCAGAACCACTGCTCTCTGGAGCACAGGAAGCCCTCTTAATTTCCTCTCATTCCCCGTGGAATCTACTTAGTGGGTGGCTGGTACAGGCTGTTCTGCCTGAACTCCCTGTCTGTGTCTCCCTGCCCCCATGGGCTGCCCAGCAGCTGCCTTCTTCCCTCCTACACTGGCTGCCGAGCCCCTTGCTGGGGGATGTGGTGCAGCGGGAGAGCATGCCTTTGCAAAGGCCGGGGGACAGAAGGCACAGTGGCTGCATCGCTGTGCCCACATGCACCGAGGATCCACATTCAGTGGGCTCTGCAGGGAGTGGGAGCTGCTGGTGGGGGCAGAGGGCTGGCACAGCCTGGGCAACTGTAAGCCCAGCTGCTGATTGCGGGAAGCCGGGGCCGCAGCCCCACATCTCTGCTCTCAGCAGTGCCGAAGCCTCTGCCAGTGCCGCAGCATGGCTGGGGACCCCTCCTTTCCAACAGCCCCCGCCTGCTGCTGCCCAGCTCCATGCTGCCATAGAAAGTCCATGCTGCAACTTGTCTCCCGGGGTCAGCTGCCCCACGCAGTGCTGTGGGGCAGGGATGGACGCTGCCTCTTGCCTCTGCACAGGGGAGGAAGCCAGAAACCCACAGCGCTCGATCCCCATTGGCATCATTGTGTCCCTCCTCATCTGCTTTGTGGCTTATTTTGGAGTCTCTGCGGCCCTGACACTCATGGTGCCCTACTTCCTCCTGAACAAGGAGAGCCCCCTGCCTGAGGCTTTCAAGGCGGTGGGCTGGGAGCCTGCCCGCTACGCTGTTGCCGTCGGCTCTCTCTGTGCCCTCTCTACCAGGTAGGACTGGCTCCATCCCTGGCAGCGCCTGGCATGGCACAGGGACCAGCAGTATGCGTCCTGGCTGGGCTGGGGGTTTACCACATCCCGGTGCTGTCCTACTCCCAGCACAGAGCTGGTCCCGTCTCCATCTGGGTGGTGGGTGTGGACAGCTCTCCTGGCAAGCCCTGAGACATCTCTCCCCACGGCAGCTTGCTGGGCTCCATGTTCCCCATGCCCCGTGTGATCTATGCCATGGCGGAGGATGGGCTGCTCTTCAAGTTCCTCTCCAACATCAATGGCCGCACAAAGACCCCTCTGTCAGCCACCATCACCTCAGGGCTCCTCGCGGGTAAGGCTCCCAGCTGCCACCTCATGCTCGGTCCCCTGGCGGTCCAGAGCCGTGCTCATGCTGCATGTCCTCGTTGCAGCGGTGATGGCCTTCCTGTTTGACCTGAAGGACCTGGTAGACCTCATGTCCATCGGCACGCTGCTGGCCTACTCCCTGGTGGCGGTGTGTGTGCTCATCCTCCGGTGGGTGTCTCCTCTCATGTGGCAGTGCCCAGGGTGGATGTGCCTTGCATTGAGCCTGAGGCATATGGCCACAGCTTTTTAATGGGGAGATGCAGGCTGGGGGAGCCTCAAGCCCCCAGGGTGGAGGCTGTTCACAAGAACCTACGCGGTATCTCTGGGCACATCCCTGGGGTGGCCGTTTCAGGGTCGTTGCTGGAGCAGCACACAGGGCTGGAGAAGCGGGAAGGGTATGAGGGTGCTGCCCACTCTCCCCCTGGTCTGGGAAGTTCCTTGGGCTCTGCTGCAGCTTGTCCCATCTGCTCAGGTACCAGTCCAGGCAGCTGAACTCCCCGAAGGCCATGGAGATGCTGGAGCTGAACGGGAACGAGGAGGAGAGGGTGATCATGAACCCAACTGTCACTGCTACCAGCACCCAGCAGAAAGAGATGCTGTCC